TAAAAGTTTAAAAAATCTTTCTTTGTAAATATCTCACGTTACAACGGGACAACTGTGGTGTAAAGTTAGTGGGTGTGGCTTATATTCAGGTGTGCTCAATAGTCCGGAAACTACGATATGTGTTCACCTGCGTGCAGTGGAAGTGTGCTCCATTTCGCAAACCCCAGCATCTGTCCAGGGTCCAGTCTAAGTTCTGGTCCACAGTGGATGAGCTGACTGCCCCAGATTTTAGTCAGATAGCTTGCTGCGCTTCGCTCGCTCAAATACAGATTTCATCTCTCTGTCTGTCCCATATTCTCTGATGAAAGCACCCCAGAATCAAAGGCTGCGAGCTGCTCATCCCCCCCGCCCCCCACAACCGCCTCCAACTGTGGGGCTCGCAGACACAGAGGAATCCACAGCCGCTCCCGCAGATACCGTCTATCCAATATTCATCCTGCCAAGCCGCCAACAGCAGTCACAGAAGAAGGGAGGCAGTTCGTAATGCAGTTAGCAAAGAAGTGACCGTGGAGGAAAGCTGGTAAATCACGAGGGTCTTCTGCCTTCGGCCGTCACGGATATCAAGGCTGTGACTAAGATCCATTATCACTGCAGTGGAAGTTGACATCAAAGATACCGTACATACATGATGCATGCATTAGACTGCTTGTGTAGCAGGATTATGGTGGTTAAAACAGAACGTCAGCACTCAGTGAAGAGACAGTAAAGAAAGCAGCAACTCACCAGAATCCTGTCCTCCGTTTTGCCATTTTTGGTGTCAAGCTTAATGCTGCGAATGAACTTTATAGATGATTTATCGATAATCTTCCTGATGCTTTCTGTGGATGAAAACCGCAACAAATACACACATAATGTCATTTCAAACCAGATTTTTTTTGCACATAGCATTTAATAGGAAACCTGTTATCAAGCTGATGTCTTTTAGGTTTTTGAATGTGTTTTCTAAACTTGCAGAGAGACTGGAAACCAGACATTGGCAATTCATCTCAGAGCCAGTCATGCCTGCATTTATTTTTTGTTGAATTACATTACTGTCTGGTCAATTGTACAGTACGTCCAGCTTTGTAGGCACTGCAATATCATAAAGCAATAAGATCGCTTTCACAGGCATAAAATGAGACATAATGTTTACTGTGCAGGATTATTTTCAGCACTTTGTGTCGTTGCACATAAGTTATCATACAGCGGTGGAAAAAAACATGTTCAGAAATCGACATACTTATGGAACACCTTGGAAGAAATTCAGTAAACGGGCTAAAAAATGCACAATAAAAACCTAAATAAGTACAGGCCTACATCCACTTCTACATTTACCAACTCATGGGTGCATCAGCCTGACCTAAAATAATAATCCAAGGAATGCTAAAAATAAGTTGCAAACCTCAGAAATGCAAAAATTATATAATGAAGCAAAAAAGACTGACAGGGTTTTAGGTTGTGCTCCAGAACACAGAGACACCCAGTGGGAACATACCCGGATGTCATGAATTAATTACTGACTGATAGTGAAACACTACAATGTTTTCCCTCTGACTTCACCACAGTGTTTTTTACTATGTCTTGAGGCATCATCGAAATGGCTCACAATATGCTTCAGTGTCACTTTCTTCCTCACAGGAGCATCATGACACATCAGCGCCTGTGATTCACTGAGATCTGTTCCCGTCAAACAGCATCACCGTCGGCGCTGTGACCCCTGACATGTGTACAGCACGTAACCTGCCTGCCGCACCAGAGGAAGCATCTCGCTCACGGGGGCGGGAACACGCCGAATCACAGAAACATACAGTCGCTGGCAGGAATTACATGATTCAGCGTCTCAATTACTGTGGCTGCACAGCATCCCAACTGACGAGTTTATGAGGAAATCGATACTGGAACTGGGATGGTGGGATTTGGCGCTGGAGTTGAAACAGTCACAGCGGACTGTGAAGCAACTGTTTCTTTTTATGGAGGCGTTTATCCATATTTCCGGGTGCACATAAGTCTTTGCTGGAGCGAAGTTCAAGTGGAGGTAAGTGCAGTTGGTCAAGTTTGGTGCTTACTCTGTGTGAGTATTTCTATTTTATGCTCCTGAACACTTGCACTCCACCAAATTTCAGCAGGAAATACTGTACTTTTTACTCTGTTATTTGTCTGACATGTCATATAGAATAGAATAGAACTTTATTGATCCATTTATATACGAAGTGTGTCACAAACGTTTTAGGACTGATGTCACAAAAGACATATTTCAAACCCAAACCACAAACTACATGTTTTCAAAGTAATCCCCCTGGAGTCTAACACACTTCCCCAGCCTTCTCTGCCACACCGCCATGCACTCCTGGAAGGATTCTTCCGGGATCCTCCGCAGCTCCGTCGTCACAGCCATCTTGATGTCGTCCAAGTCTTCAAAACAGGTCCCCTTGATGACCCCCTTGAGCTTGGGGAAGAGGAAAAAATAACACGGAGCCAGGTGGGGTGAGTAGGGAGGTCGCTCCAGCACAGCCATGTTCTTCTCAGCCAGGAATTGTGGGATGCTCAGGGCATTGTGAGCAGGCACGTTGTCATGGTGAAGCAGCCACGACTTGTCCTGCCACAACTCTCCCTCTTCTTGAGCGCTGACTGAAGCAAACGCTGCAGGATCACTTTGCAGACGTGCTGGTTGATCGTCTGACGGGGAAATCTCATAGTTTGTAGTTTGGGTTTGAAATATATCTTTTGTGACACCAGTCCTGGAACTTTTCTGACACACCTCGTAAATTGGTTATGTTGGCTATTCTTTTAAAGATACTTAAATATCCCCTCCAGTGAAAATCAAAATATTCCTTTGTTAATTTATTGTGCTTTTTATGTTGTAGAAGACGTATCACAAGCAAAATAAGCATTGTCATGGTTGAAAATTTCTAGGTGGAAACTCTGGAAAAAGACAGTTACGAATGTTACAACTTGACATTGCATAGCGCAGAGCAGGTGTTTCAGCACAGTCACAGATGAGCTGGTGTGTTCAAGCTGCAGCGAATGGAAAGGAGTGCCATGAGGGAGTGGCAGGGACTTCATCAAACTGCACATTCTGGAAACGTAACTGTGTAGAGTTACATCTAAGCCATTTTGGAGGCAATATGGGAATATTTCAATGGAAAAGTTTGAAATATATGATTTTGATCAGCAACGATAAGCTTTTAGGAGTTTACTGAATGCCTGTAGAGACACTTTAATTGTCACATATTATTTGAAATTGGACACAGACACCCATGTTGCCCTGATTATAAGTAGTATTAACTTGAATTACACTCACTTGTCCATTTGCACCAGCATTAGGTCAAAACATTAACTGAACAAACATTAAACATAAGCACGCTGGCATTCTCAGTGTGAGCATTTGAGCATTTAGTCTCAGCAGAGTCGTAGGTGACCTGGTGTGCTGGGGCTGCAGTGCAACCAGAAAGACTGGGGAAGGACTTTAACTGTCATCCACTACATAACGTTTGATTTTTGATGTAGACATCTGAGTTCCCCTAATTATCAGTGGTGTTAACTTGAGCGATCCACCACCTAGCGCCAAAATTAGGTCAGACCATGAACCGAACAAACTGAGAACGAAGAAGGAAAGCATGCTGGCATTCTCAATGTGAGCATGTTGACATTTGGCCTAAATGGAGTTGTATGTGAGCTGGTGTGCTCAGGTTGTAGCGAAGCGCATTGAGAGAAACAAGGACTTTTAAAGACTGCATATTCTAGAGAAAGCTACAGTGTAGTGTTACATCTAAGGCATTTCTAAGAAAATGTGCAAATATGCAAGTTCGACGCACAGAGACGAGTTTTTAACAGTTTAATCACTTTAACCAGCTAAAATTATGCTTATATAGGATGAAAATCCATTACCCTAACATCACAACCCTCACAGGGTACTTGCTTCTACAAAAAAATTACTTTTTTTTTTAAACATTTTCGGCACATTTTGCACTCCTTGAATGCGTGACTTTTGCGAGAGTTCTCTGAGCCTGAGCTTCAGGCTTTAGACAAAGCACTGAAGTGACACTAATCTCCGTCCATCCAGAGACGAGATGCAACTCAAGTCTCTTTCAGGTGACCTTGTGCAGGTCCGCAGGCCACCAGGTGCTCCTCCTGTCAGTCAGTGCAGGAAGGGCGGGAAGGGAAAGGCGGGTTGCAGGCGGCCCGGCAGGTGACTGAATGAAGAGGCAGGGATTCCACTGGATTAATCATCACAGTGCGCCTAATAGAGCCATTAGGAGTAATTAACACAGCAGCAGAGTCCCTGCTACCCTGAGCATGTGTGCCGGTGGATGGGAGGCAGCGCTGTGACTTTGACATGTGTGAATCTGTTGCTGTTTGAGGAGAAAATAAAAAATAAATGAAGGGAATAAATATTTGTGCATTCTGTGGTGGGTCTGCATGCATGTCTGCTGCCTTGATCCAGTGAACATCTGCCTTTATGTGTGCCTCTCTACTCCTTTCACTTTCCATGCACACGTGCACGCGCAAACACTAGGTTGGTTTTTAGTCTGCAGATTAAAAAAAGATTAAAAAAAAATAAAAAATCAGTCAACGTGCAAAGGGAACAAAACGCTATCAGACCCACGAGTGCACACCGTGATTTCCACAACGCCCCTTTTCCTCCTGCTCTGGCCTAAGGCTGGGGTTTTTATTACATGATCCTCCCCGAGGGGCAGGCTCACAGCCGGGTATATCACCCGCACTATAAATAATTCATCCGCACATTTAACTAATTCACATGCACGGAGAAAAAGAGAGAGAGAGAGAGAGAGAGAGAGTAGGGGGGGAGAGAAAATAAAGAAAGCCGCCCCGGAAAGCACCGGGACAATATGGAAAGGTGCAGCTCATCACCGTCAGTCAATGCGTCTGTTCGGTCGCAGCCTCCCGACAGCCGCGCGCAACGAAGAGCATCCCGAGCCTGACCGGGGATGGAGGAGGGAGGAGAGGGGAGGGGGGGGAGAGAGCACCGGTTTACCGCGACAAGCAAAAAACAAACCGAGCAGCCTTTTACCCACCTGTGATATCCTTGGTCACACTGACGAATCCAGAGGCGGTGATCTCTTTAGAAGCCATGTCTGCTCCTCGCTCCTATCGCCTCCTCCTCCTCCTCCTCCTCCTCTTCCTCTCCTCCACCTCCTTCCTCTCCTCCCTCCCTCTCTCTCTCTCTCTCTCTCCTCCTTCTCTCTCTCCCTCTCAGAAATGGACAGAAAGGATGGTCTCTCTCCCAGGCATTCCAGCAGAGCATCCGACTGCCCGACGCGCTTCCTGGAAGAAACCCTGTGGATGTTGGGAGGCTGGATGTGGGGAGCGACTGGAGGAGGAGGAGGGGAGTGAGGGAGGAGGAAGTAGGAGGCGGGGATCACTGAGGGATAATGAGGCAGCTGTAGTTACCTGTGAGAGCTCCGAAGTTACAGCGAGAGCTCCAACTGCACTGGAGCTGTGCTGCTCTGCATTGTTGTTGTTTTTTTAACATCTTGTAAAATCTTGTAAAGGATTTTGAAAGTTATTTCTGATGTGTTTCGTGGGTTTTGGTGGAACTAACAGAAGCAGAGAGACAAAGAGGGATGTGGGTGAATCTTATCAAAGATTATGAGGAGGAGTGTTTTCGAACAGAAACCTGATTCTGAAGATTCTGGCACTAAAGTCAGTAAAACTAAAGTAAAAGTGGATTAACAGCTAAGTCAGCTTTTATGTTTCCTTCACATTAGCTTCATGTTCCCTCGACTTTTAGATTACTTCACAGGTTACCTCAGAATCTTGTTGCCCTCCTTCATAGTAGTCCTGTGTTGTCTTGCAAATCTTTCAAACCATCTTGCAGTAACTTTTGCATTTCTTCGCGTTACCTTACAATAACTTCTGTGTTACTTTGCAGTAGTTTGCATTAGTTTTGTGTCGTCTTACAAAACTTCTGCATCACCTCGCGATACTTTTTTGTTCTCTCACAGTAGCCTTGCGTTACCTTGCAAAACTTTCAACAGTTTTGCGTCACTTTGCTAAAACTTTTTCTTTACCTCATGATCGCTTAATGTTCCTTTGCAATATTTTGCCTTACCTCGCTGTAACGTTTGCGTTACTTTGGAGTAATCTTGCATAATTTTGCAATAGTTTGGTGTTACGTCGCTTTCGTTTTGCTTTACCTCGCAGTGACTTTTGCATTACTTTGCAATAACTTTTGCGATACCTCACAGTCCTTTTCCGCTACCTTGCAATAGTTTGCATTACCTTTGTGTTTCTTTGCATTAGTTCTGAGTTACCTCGTCTTTTTGTGTTTTCTCACAACAGTTTTGCGTTATCTCGGAAAACCTTCGCATTACTTTGCAGTAGTTTAGCTTTACCTCGCCTTAGTTTAGCGTTTGCTTGCAAAATTTTCGCGTTTCTTCACAAAAGTTTTGCATTGCTTCACAATAGCATTCTCTGTACTTTGAAAGCGTTTTATGTTCCTTTGCAATATTTTTGTGTTGCCTCGTGCTAACTTTTGCATAACCTCACAGTCTGATATGCGTTCTTTTGCAAAACGTTTGTGTTACCTGGTGAAGCCTTTGCAGTCACCTCGCAACAGTTTTGTGTTACCATGCAATCCTTCTAAGTTCGCTCACAAAGGTTTTGCCTTCTCTTGTAAAGTACATTTCTTCTTTACAGTTTTACATTTCTTGTCTTTTATATGAATGTTTTATTTGTTGGTCCAGTCCTGTTGGAATACATTAACTGTTTAGGGACACACTGCCGAAAGGAGATGTCAAAAACCTCAACAAAGAAAACTTATTTCGAGGTAATAAAACGAGCGATATAACGCAAACGTTGTTCTCAAAATATCCTCGCCATGAGTTCCATATGATAGTAACAAGACAAATTTGATGCATTTAAATTTTGACCCACCTGTGATGCCATACAAACAGCAAAGGCATCACCAGGTTATATTCCTGGGGGTCAAGATCATTTCATCCCAACCTATCTTACTGCTGTCAAGACATTTCCGTGGGATGCCAGAGGAAAGCTTAAAGGATAACTATAATCTTTAGTATTCATCCTCTACTGATCACGAATATCTGTACAAAAATGTGTCCCAGTTCTTCCTGTAGCTCTGCACATATTTCACAGGACTGACCTGTAAGTGGCTCGAGATGGAAATTCTGGGTATCACCAAAGTCATTAGGATTCATCCTTTGGGCACCATGGAAATCCATACCAAATTTTATGGCAAGTCATCCCTTTGTTGAGATATTTCAGTCTGGTCCAAAGCGCTGGACTGTGCTGTGGGCCGGATAAAAATTAATAGACTGGGGGGTTGAGATTCCCCTCATTTAATTTACCGAAACTTTATCTAAGTGGATTATACTGAACAAAATGAAATGCTCCCCAAAGAGAAAACGAGCGCCCACGTCAGCAAGTGCTAGAAAGAGAAGGGAGAGTAAAAAATAGAGCAAACAAAAGATAACAACAAAACACAACCTGAATAAAAATGTGAAAATACAGGATTGGATTTCAGCAAAAAAAAAATACTTTCAAGCAAGTTTGTGAGATCAGGTTATGATATCAGCAGAAAAATAAGAAGAAGCTGAGAAAATGAAAACTGCTCGGAGCTTTGAAACCTTTCTGTCTGCGCCAGATTCTTGCCGTCCGATGGCTCCACCTGTTAACTAGCCAACAGAGGAAGGAAACGTCTCCACCAAGATGACCATCTCTGGCTGTGGTTTGCTGCGATAAACTCCTCCTCAGAGATCTTATTATTCTCTGTCTCATGGCCTCTAAAATAAAACAGGCTCTGGACAAAAAACAGACACGGAGCTTCTGAAATATACTGATTTTTTTAAGCGGCGGAAATCCTAAAATTATCTTCTTTTTTATTGCTGTCTTTTTTTCTTTTTTTTTTGAAAGAACAATAGAGGAGTTTCACATCTAATTCTGGGCTTTCAAATCCTCGACAGAATGAACATCGTCCTTATCTCGTCACTGCTGGGTGAGTATCGCAGATAAAAACCTGACTGACTGTCATACTTTCAGTCATGTCTCTGTTGGGCGGACTCATGAGAACCGTCTGTGTTTTTATTGCAAGACTCTTTAACTGTGTTTAAGAGGTGTCTGCTGACGTAGACCCAAAGCTGTGCTCTCTCTTATTTGATGCAGATATCAGTAGTTTGCTACTCAGGGTTATAAATTTTCCTGGCCTGCAGCAGACAGTGCTAAATGAAAATGATGTGCACCAGCCAGAATCCGAATGCAGCTAATGGAAACCATTTGGACAGGCCTGCCAAAATGTTGTGTTGGCCGCTCCATCCTCATGAGTTATGTTTTAATACTATATGACCGTAGTAGCGCCGTGTTACACTGTGTGCGGATGATGTGGGTGTCTGACAGGAAAAATGCTGCAAATGTGAGTACATTCCTTCCGTTCCCATGGGGATGATCGCCGTCTAAACAGTCTCATTAAGGAGAAGGAAGCTCTGCTCTGTGTCACACTGTGTGGCAGCACCGTGACTGTCTGCGCGTTGGGGAGGAAGCGTGGCTCGGATGGTCTTTGAAACAGCAGAGCGACGGATTGATACATCTTACAGACGCACGTACCTTTGCCTGTAGGTGTAGATTTCAGGGAGGGGGCACGCTTCAATATTTAGAACATGTGCATCTGTCCCCTGCAGGAAAAACAAGAAAGATGATCTTTTCCGTCAGCATGTCAAACAAAGAAATGGTTGATGTATTTTGAATGTGCAGAAAGTTCTGAACTTGAAACGAAATCTTTATGAAACACATGTGGAGTCCAGGGATACATAAATTATTTTAAACTAGTTAATTCATCATCGACATGAAGAGGAGCCTCATGCACATTAAACAGAAGAGCAAATGAAGCCGATATGCGTGTCGACTTAGCAGCAATGCTGTTAAATGAGAAAAGCTAAATAAAGATTTGAAAGCAGCACAGAGAGCTTGAGAATTCATTATATTCTGATTTGACACCTAGTGATTGAATTTTAGTGTTTTTCTTTGCATAAATAAAGATATTTTCACCAGGAAAAAGAACAAATTGGTGCATGAAAATTCACCAATAATGAGGTGAATTGTTGCCTCTGTTAACCTTCCCTCTCGCAACGCAAATTAAATCTACACCCATGCCTGTAGAGACGAGCTTCTTAAATGTGACTTTATTTTGTCTTGATTATATAATCCAAAATCAGCAGTGGACCATGACTGACTCTCTGGCGTGCCGCCATGTGGGAACAAACCATCTGAGCTGTGTTCGTGCTAATACATTTTTACTCCTGACTGGCAGAGCAGACAGAAGAGAAGACATACTGTACCCATCAATGTGGCAGGAACAAGCTGCGCTGGAATATGAGCATACGAGGAGATGTTTGTGTAAAACAGCTTCTCTTTATTTCAGGTGCATTTGTTCTGCAAGCTGCTGCACTTGAAGGTACGGGGGAAAGGCATAAAGACAGCGCCTGTCTCACATACACCGACAGAATGTCTGATATAAACATGAAAAACAACCTAATGGAGTTTCCCTGCTTATGCAGAGCTTCACAAAGCCATTGTGTCTGTGTGGCCTCCGGGGTCAAACATCTACCTCGGTGAGTGCGTGTTGCTGCAGTGCACGGTGGAGCCCAACTCCACCTTTACGTGGAGCTACCAGTGGTACAAACTACACACTGCTGCGACCCCGAACCCCAGGCACCTGGTCTCTGGTGACAGCTACTCCATCACCGCGGTAACGAGGGAGGACACGGGCAGCTATTGGTGCAGAGCAGAGCGGAGGGAGGGCAACGGGACCGGTGCAACGCTCAGCAGCAAGCCGGTCGTGCTCATTGTGTCAGGTGAGCAGCAGCAGCAGCTACAACCTCTGCAGCGTGGCATCAGGTTACTGCTACACAACAACACACAGGTGGAAAGGTTGTCCAGGATTGACCTCTAGTGCAGGGACGCGTCTCTACAGCCACTTTTACATCGACCATCCACTGAAGTCGTAATGTTAAGCTGTGTTATGTTGTTGTTATTTGGCAAATGTCTTGCTATTTTTAACCGTGTTAATCAATGTGAAGCTTCGGTACATTGATTGAGTCTTGCAGCCTGATTGCTTT